TTTCCTTTTCCCGACAAACGACTTTACGTAAAGTCGAAACTTCTGCGTTCTAAAATAGTATACATTCATTTTTTCGTGATTTTTAGTTACTTTAATTTAGTAACTATTCGTATCAATTGTTATTGATTCACCGCAAACATTGGGATATTTGAAGGTGTTTAAGAACATCAACTGGATAAAATAGTCGTAAAATCAAAAGCAATGACTGATTTCCCCATGTCAATGAACATTTTTGCGCTGTACGGGGTGAAAATCAGAGTTATTAATGTATGTGGTGTTGAAACAAATCCTGTTTGAAATTTACAAGTATTTAAAATCATTCATTATGTTCCTTTCAAAAAAGAATGTCTGAAAAAATCTATATCTGAAAAAAATCAATATGTAAGAGAGAAGAATTAGCCGGGATTTCTATTAATAAAATGTGAGTGATTTATGAAAGAAACTACTATATTTCTTTCTAAAACATTTACGTTCCTTGTTCGCGATTCTTGATTATAAAACTAAATAATAGAAATAAATATTCTTGGGTTATAATTTTCTATTGATGCAACATTTTTACTACGCATTGTGGCATTTTCCATAGCCGGGATTCATACCTTTGAATTCACCGTGCAACATGCTTTCCATTAAGGGAAGCGACAGGCAGTAGCCGACCCCGAGCATCTTGCGTCATAGTTCATTGCTTTCACCGGAGCCCTTCCCTGGTTGTGGCGTCAGGCACTACAGTCGATTTTTCAATCCTCTCAGACTGCCCCCTCAACACAACTACGTAATGATTCAATTTGGTTTCTTCAAAATTTTTAATTTCGCTCTGACGATTGGTGCCTTTTGGACGCGACTGACGTATAAGCTTCACGTACTACCGAGGATAGAACAAATTTCATGTTGCACAAATAATAACTTACAAACTGTTTGGTTATATGTACATTTTGTATTAATAACTGACAGTTTAAAAGAAAATAATAAGATGTTCTATCAATTATAAAAGTTAAAATAAGTATAAAAATTAAAGGATTTGGGGAAGAAGATAAGCCACACCATCTACAGCAAGCCTCCCGTTATTCGTAAAAGTTATTTTCTCGATTTGGGGACAGTGAGGCATATCTTGCTATTATAAATAATTTTATGTTATGAAGTGCTTAGGGCAGTAATAAGAAGAAACACAAATCGAGATTTAATGTTTACGGATAGCTGAAGGCTTGCTGTGGTTGGTGTGGCTTATCTTGTTACTGCCCCAGTTTTTCAAATGCTTTTGGAAATGCGCGTTGTTGATGTAGGTCTTTGAGAGATAAGCATATGCCACTGTAAATACGTTGTTAAATATAATTGTTCAATGTTTGTCAGACAGACATAAATCGGAGGTGGGCTTTTCTTATAATTCGGACACGCAACGCTCAACACAAAATTGTCACAATTGTGGCGCATGACTACCTCTCACTGACCCCTCCTCTTGATGCATTTCGGAATGGCATATATCTGTTGGTTTCTAAAGCAAGTTCTGTTACTACCGACTGAATTTTTTGTGCAAATTTACTTTAGTATTTCGAGTGGATTTCAATTAACCGTTTCTCGCACGATGCATTGTAAATAATATTATAAGAAATGGAGTTTTCAATTTTCAGAATACTTTTCTAGACCCTTGTGAATGTTAACGCTATCTAACAATCATCGAGCTCCTCTGAGTTGTGAAGAGCATAACGGTTTATTTCTGTGTATCGAGGCCAGTCCATGGGATTTCCCTCCGTAATAGCCAAGTTCCTGAAAGACGTTCTGTGTTTCTTTCGCGAGTGATCAATTGGAGGGTTTCTGAGAATTAGTTTTCAAAGTAGGTCGTGAAACCGAATTTCGGAACGAATGTCATTTGCATAAACTTGTTGTTAGAGCAATTAGAGGCATTGGGAATCTTGAAAGTATAATCACGGACGTTGGGCGATATTATGCTGAGTTTTTAGTCTTTTGGAGTTATCCAATGCTAATGGTGACCTAGGATTATTATTTACAAATTCTACTGAACGTGAATAAATCTTCTATACCACTAGTTTTGGAAACTTCCTTGTAAAACAAAACTATCATTGAAATTCGAAAATGACATCAATATACACGAAATACATTATGACTTGCAATCTTTTGTATGCGACTTGACTAGTTTCGTTTCGTAATAGGAAACAGAAGTTCACAATGACAAATTATACGCAAAGTTAGTATGATCGCACTGATAGTTAATCATCGTCTTTCATCTGAGACTATTTTTAGTAGAGATATTTAGAGCCGGAGGAGACGAAATTAAAAATTACAAAATTCGAAAATTTCGAAAATTTACTAGATCTCCAGATTGGCGTTTGTGCTCAAACATTTCGCGGCCTCTGTGCCAGTCTCTTGCAAGTGAAAATAATAATAATAATAATAATAATAATAATAATAATAATAAAACTTAGAGCTAATGCTACGTTTATTCATAATTTACCAGATGGCGCAGTTAAAGAAGCTCCTAATCACCTTTCCAGTCACGTTATAGTCTTGAGTGTTAAGTATGTACTGCAGGAAATCAGCTGATCCGGGTGGCCGAGATCGGTAAGGCAGTAGTGCCGTGGCGATCTCGGGCCGAAGGATCGTGGGTTCATGTTCCGCCTCGGGCATGGTTGAATTTGTGCTCACCCTCATCATCACCCTACCACTTCATTCTGTATTTCCTGCAGAAAGGCAGGAGGCCCTTGCCCTTAATGGAATATTAGTTGGCTAATAATAATAATAATAATAATAATAATAATATTAAAAGGAGAAACGAAATCAGAGGATACAGAGAAACGCGCAGTATGCTTGTGGAAGAAGAGTTATTTTTTGTAAGAAACAATCCAACAAAACACAAATGTATTGCGGGTTGCATTTGGCGATATTCATACCAAAAACGTTTTATAGTAAGGTATTTAACGAGTGTCGAAAATGAAATTAATACAATATAGGCTGTCTTAACGGAAGCTACGTTAAAATCGATGCAACTTTAGCTAATATTAATGCACATTTATTGCTTGAATTTCAGCAAAACAGAAATAAATGTCAGTACCTAGAGTAAGTAAATAGTCTTACAATACTAATCCATGAGAAATTCACAATTTGTAAAAGCAAAACAGTTACGAATTGAATGCCCAACAAAATCTGTTGATACATAGTATCTGTCATATTCGTAATATTTAAAGATGAGAACGCTAGGGTTTGGCCGTTTAGTCATTGATTTTTAAAACTTGGATATCACCGAAATTGCGCTGATAAAGCCAAGTGAGTGCTGAAATGCTAAAACGAACCCTCTTGCCCTCCAAACTATGAACTTTTCTTGGTATCGTTGATGGTAAAAAATGCTTGATACTCTGCATACTAAAGCGAGAATGCCGTGCTATTGTGAGCCGAAAATGTGTCTTCTTAAGACTTAATGATTGAAGTGCATGTGCTCTCGGTGGGAAAAAACAAAAAAACAAAAACGGGGCACTAGTTTCTTTGTCCACCAACGTTCTCTCCACGCTGGCGTTAGCGCCAATCGCGTTAGACCCCACGCGCATGCGCTCACCGAGCGGAAGAAGTAACTTAACAGCGTTCCAGGCTCTGTGCGTCAGTCGATTGCTGACAAACGAGGCAGAAAGGGTGAAACCTGCGCATGCGCAGATGCCAAACGAGTTACAAATAAACAAAAAAATGCATTTGCACAACACTTCGTTGCCTTATTCACCTCGCCTTGAACGCAATAATCGATTGTGGGTATCGCAACCGAACTTGTGACAAAAGAAAACTGCTGTGCACGACGAGGCAAACTGTTTTTTTAGGAGTGTAAAGAGAAGAATTGTTAATAATCCACGTATGTGACCTCCGAAAGCTTCTTCGCGGTGCAAGTGGACGTATTAGCTTAATCTTACGCGTTCACACTTCATAAGTCAAATGTACTCTTAATGTCAGTATTTCTCTTAAGCTGGGCAGAACGTAAAGCCTCTTTCACTTGCAGTTCTTTGCAAATTTAGTAAACGTCCGAATGTTAACCATTATTTTCAGATGACGCGCGGTAGCTAAAGGCTATATATATATATATATATATATATATATAATATATATATATTATATAGCATACACGCAACAGTTATATACATGTACGTGTACAATACGTAAGTATCCTTGACATTCGTGACAGTAGAACTCGGGGCAATTCGTGTGTCGCTGGCAGCGTCATGAGTTTTTTTTTCTTTTTCGCGCAAGCGCCAGCGCCAGCCAGCGGGGTGGCGGAATCGCGAACTTGCGGCGTGTCTCCGGAGGAGCCTCGCGCAGGCGCAGAGCGCCGTCCAGCGCGTGCGCTTTGTTTGTGTACGCGTCGTTATCGCTGCGCCCTTCCCGTCGATGGCTGCCCGACGCGGCGGTCGCACCGCTACTTGCCGTGGGCTTCCGCGATACAAGACCGCACTCCACCCAAGCACTTTTACTTGGCGACTCGCGAACGACGCGTGACGTGCCTAGCGATGGAGTACGTAGTACTAAACCTTTGTTATCCGAGACCAATGGGTCTTGTTTTGTTTTCCCCGTGGGAAATTTCGGAATGGCGATGTCAATATCTATGAGATAGGATGTATGAAAATCTCAAATATTTGTGTTTTCTTCCCTTCCTTATCAACACGATTAAGATTGCATTGTTTTCAGATTGATAAGATAACGGGGTTATTGTTATTAGGTGCCTAAAAGTGGCATGCATATTCATTAATGTACTTTACGTAGATACTAATCGTAGACGTAGATTGCATGAGACAAAGCTCTGACATACATAGACGTCCGTTTCATGTTGGTATCACTGACCACATTTCACGTCACTCGTACATTCACTTGTAGCGATTACAATGGTAAAACACAAACACACTTCCCTGGATTGCCGGGTTCACATAAAAATAATGCACACGGAATAAGATCACTGTAGCACGAGAAGATAGAGACACAAACGCTGGAATCGGCTAGGGCTGATCAGCTGATATCACCTGTCACAGCAGAACGAGCGGCAACGTCGCGAGGCGTTCGACGCGGTCGCCCAGCCAGCGCCGAGGGCTGAAATTCGGACGCGAGCAGCAAGCACAGAGCGCGCGACTGACGTCAGTCTTATTAATAAAGCACTTGCGAGGGTGCCACGGCCAGCGAGGGGAACGGGACGGGACGGGGCGGGGGTCCTTTTTCTTAACGCTTGTCCTGTCTATCGCTCGTCTGACACATCCACTGCTACCGTTTAAAATCAACCACCTTTCCTTCCTGTTGGCCCACAACTACGTTTCTTCATTCAACACACGTCGCTTAAATACCACGCACACATGCCATATTTTATTAGTATACAATCATATGCCAAAATAATTGAATTTTTTGAAGCAAAACCATATCATTAAATTCAATACCCCTCTCTCGCTGCCATCTCCAACACGCCGCAGCTCCTTCCCGCCTGGACGAGTTGGGCCGCCTAAGCCAGGCATCAGCACTGTTTCGCCGGAGGGGGAAGCGGGGCGGGGCGCGCGGGAGCGGAGGGGCGGGGCGGGGCGGGGGGGGCACGGAAGGGGGGCCCCCCACCGCGCGCCATCAGCTGTGCGCCGCGCCGCCCGCCGCCCGCCGCCCGCCCGCCGCTGGCGCAAAGCGCGCGCGCGGGCAGATCGGCCGCTCCAGCCCCGGGCCAGCCCCACGTCGCGCCCGCGTGGGCGCCGTCCTCAACCACCTCCAGAGGCAGTGTTGCCCGCGAGGGCCGCGTCGCCTCTCCGCCGGGGGCCGCCTTATCCCGCCTCGCTCAAGGCCACCCATCCCCACCCCGATCGGCTTTCGCGCAAGCGCGCCCCCGACGCCCAAGCCAGCGCGCTACGCCTCGCCGCCCCAGCGGCCGCGCCCCGCCCTGGCCGCTGCCCGCCCTGGCCTCGGCCCTCGCCCTCGCCTACGCTGCCCGTCCGTAAATGACCCACAGCGTTGGCCTTCGGGGGGCGAGGGGCCGCAGCGGCGGTGCCACCGCTCACTTGCGAGCTAGGCGCTGTGCTCGACCGCCCTTGGCGCTCCGGGTTGACGTTTTCCTCTTGTTACGGTCAGCTTGAACCAGCTCGGCCCTTCTCCAGCCGCTCCCCGCCCCGCCCCGCCTTCCCCACCCCCGCCCCGTCTCCGTCCCCTCGCTGGCCGTGGCACCCTCGCAAGTGCTTTATTAATAAGCTGCGTCAGTCGCGCGCTCTGCCTGTGCTTGCTGCTCGCTCCGAATTTCAGGCCCTCCGGCGCTGGCTGGCGCGCACGACGTCCGAACGCCTCGCGGACGTTTGCCGCTCGTTTTCGGCTGTGACAGGTGATATCAGCTGATCAGCCCTAGCCGATTCCAGCGTTTGTTGTTCTCTATTCTCGTGTACAGTGATCTTATTCCGTGTGCATTATTTTTATGTGCAACCCGGCAATCAGGGAAGTGTGTTCTGTGTTTTACCATTGTTAAATCGCTTACAAAGTGAATCGTACGAGTGACAAGCTGAAAATGTGGTCGAGTTGATTACCAACATTGAAACGGACGTCTATGGTATGTCCAAGAGCCTTTGTTCTATGCACAATCTAACGCCGTGTCTACGATTAGTATCTACGTAAAGTACATAAATGAATATCGCATAGCCACTTTTTAGAGCACTAATAACAATAACCCCGTTGACGTCTTATCATCGTGAAATAAATGCCAGTCTTAATCGTTGTTGATAAGGGAAGCGGAAGAAGAAACACAAATATTTGGATTTTCATACATCGCTATCTCGTTAGAATATTGACATCCCATTCCGAATTTCCCCGGCACGGGTGAAAAACAAAACAAGACCCATTGGTTTCTCGCAACTAAAATGTTTAGTACTACGTACTCCATCGCTACGGCACGTCAGCGTCGTTTCGCGAAGTTAAAAGTGCTTGGTTGTGGAGTGCGGTCTTCTGTCATCGCGGAAGCCCACGGGCAAGTAGCGTGGACGCCGCGCTCGGCCAGCCCATCGACCGGGAAAGGGCGCAGCGATAACGACCGTACACAAAAACAAAAGCGCACGCTCCCTGGACGTGCGCCTCTGCGCCTGCGGCGAGGCTCCTCCGGAGACAACGCGCGCAGTTCGCTGATTCCCGCCACCCGCTGGGCGCGCTGTGGCGCTTGCGCGAAAAGAAAAAAAAACTCATGAACGGGAGCCTGCCAGCGACACAACGAATTTGCCCCCGAGTTCTCTCTGTCAACGAATGTCAAGGATACTTCACGTTTGTACACGTACATGTATAAACTGTTGCGGTGTATGCTATATAATATATATATATTATATATATATATATATATATATAATATATATAGTATATATATAAATATATACCTTTAGCTACGCGCGTCATCTGAAAATAATGGTTAACATTCGGAACGTTTACTAATATTTTGTTCATCAAGAACTGCAAATGTGAAAGAGGCTTAACGTTGTCTGTCCCAGCTTAACGAGAAAAATACTGACATTAAGAGTACAATTTGACTTATGCCAATGCTGTGAACGCGTAAGATTTAAGCCTAATACAGTCACTTGCGCACTCGATCGAAGGAAAGCTTTATCGTAGGTCATACATACGTGGCATTTTATACAATTCTCTCTTTACACCTCCTAAAAATAATAACAGTTTTGCCTCGTCGTGGCACAGCAGTTTTTTCTTTTGTCAAAGTTTTTCGTGTTGCGATACCCACAATCGATTTTTATTGCCGTTCAAAGGCGAGGTGAATAATTAGGCAACGACATGTTGTTGCAAATGCATTTTTTTTGTTTATTTGTAACTCGTTTGGCATCTGCGCAATGCGCAGTTATCACCCTCCTTTCTGCTCTTTTGTTTCAGCAAATCGACTGACGCCACAGAGCCTGGAACGGCTGTATAAGAGACAGTTACTTCTTCCGCTCGGAGACACCGTGCGCTAGTGCTCGTGGGGGTCTAACGCGGATTGGCGCTAACGCGATCACCACCGCTGTTGGGAGAGAGAGGGAAAGGAAACGTTGTGGGTGGAACAAAGAAACATAGTGCCCGTTTTTTTGTTTTTTTTTTTTGGTTTTTTTCCCACCTGAGAGCACATGCACTTCAATCAATTAAGTCTAAGAAGACAACATTTTCATGTTCGCGCTCACCAAATCTAAAGCACGGCCATTTTTTCTCGCTTTAGTTATGCAGAGTAATCCCAAGCATTTTTTACATCAAGACGATACCAGAAGAAGTTCATTAGTTTGGAGGGCAAGAGGTTCGTTTTTATCTTAAGCATTTTTCAGGCACTTCAGTTGGCGTTTATCAGCGCATTTTCGGAACGATATCCCAAGTTTTTTTTTATTTTTTTTTAAAATCAATGAACTAAACCGCCAAAACCCTAGCGTTCTCATATCTTTAAATATTACGAATATGGACAGATACTGATGTATCACAACAGATTTTTGTTGAGGCATTCAAGAATCGTAACTGTTTTGGTGCTTTTACAACTTGGAATTTTCTACATGGAATTCAGTAAATTGTAAAGCTATTTTACCTTATTCTCAGTACTGACATTTTATTTTGCTGTTTGTCTGAAAATTCTAAGCAATAAATGGTGCATTAATCTATTAGGCTAAAGTCTGCATCGATTTTAACCGAGCTTTCGGTTTAAGACAGCCTATATTGTTCATTAATTTTCATTTTCGACACTCGTTAAATTCCTTAGATAATAAATTTAATAAAATACTTTTTTATAGAACAATAATTAAAAAAAAAAGTTTTTGGTATGAAATTATTCGCCAAAGTTGCGCCAACCCCGCAATTACATTTTCGTTGGTTGTTGGATTTTTTTTACAAAAGTTAACTCTGCTTCCACAAGCATTTACTGCGCGTTTCTCTGTATCGCTCGTGATTTCTGTTTCTCCTTTTATTTATTATTATTTATTGATTAATTATTAGCCAGACGATAATCCCATTAAGAGGCAAGGGCTCCTGCTTTCTGCAGGGAATACAAGAATGAAAGGTAGTAAGGGTGATTGATGAGGGTGAGCCCAATTCAACCATCCCGAGGCGGAACACGAACCCACGATCCTTTCGTTCGAAGATTCTCGCACGCAAAAGATTACGCAAGACACTTACTTGCGCCTTACCGTATCTATCAGTCCCTGGCAAACCCGGATCCAAGCTGATTCTTCTTGCCAGTAACACCACATTTAACACTTCAAGACCCCCGTTTATAACTGTGACTGGGAAAAGCGTGATTAGGAAGCTTTCTTTAACTGCGCCGTATCGGTAAAATTCATGAAAAATAAACAGTAGCATTAGCTCTAACGTATTTATTTAATTATTAATTATTATTATTATTTATTATTATTATTATTTTCACTTGCAATGAGACTGGCACAAGAGGCCGCGAAATGTTTGAGCACCAAACGGCCAATCTGAAATTATGTAAATTTTTCGAAAATTTTTCGAATTTTTTGTAAGTTATTTTAATTTGTCTCCTCCGGCTCTAAAATATCTCTACTAAAAATAGTCCTCAGATGAAAAAAGACGATTGATTAACTATCAGTGCGATCCATACTAACTTTGCGTATAATTTGTCATTGTGAAACTTTCTGTTTTCCTATCTACGAAAACGAAACTAGTCAAGGTCGGCATAAACAAAAAAAAAAAAGATTGCAAGTCATATGTATTTCGTGTATTATTTGAATGTCATTTTCGTAGAATTTCAATGATAGTTTTGTTTTTACAAGGGAGAGTTTCCAAAACTTAGTTGTATAGAAGATTTATTCACGATCAGTATAAGAATTTGTAAATAATAATCTCTAGGTCACGCATTAG